GGAGTAGCTGGTGGTTCACCATGAAATGTTTTAAGGGGACTGACATGGAATACATCATGGAGTCGAGTTCCAGCAGGCAGCGCGAGTCTATATGCAACAGAACCAATGACTTCAGTGACTTGGAAAGGCCCATAGAAGCGAGGAGACAATTTGCCATGCTTGTGACCTGGTAACGATGCTGCTGCACGTTGGTGAAGGCGAAGCCACACCCAATCACCAATGCCAAATGCCAGCTCGCGATGCTTGTCATCATAATAATGCTTTGCCCGCTGCCGCGCTTGATGGAGACGCTCACCAACCTCATGAACGAAGTTGGCGCGATCCTGCAAGGCGGTGTCCACAGCTGCACCTTGGCCTCGCCAGGAACATAGTCACGAAGACGTGGCAGTGGCCAACCATAGACAACCTCGAATGGAGTGGCACGAAGAGCGGAGTCGTAGGACGTGTTGTAGCAGAATTCCGCCTAGGGCAACCATTCGACCCAGCGCCGTGGCCGATCACCAGTGAGGCAACGCAGGTACATTGCGATGACTTTGCTGACAACTTCAGTCTGCCGGCAGACTGGGGGTGAAAGGCTGAGCTCATGTGAAGCTGAACGCCGGACAACTTGAATAACTCACGCCAAAAGTTGCTGGTGAAGACAGGATCTCAATCACTGACAATTGACTGTGGAAGTTCATGGAGGCACACACTGCCCTCAAAAAATGCCTTTGCCACAGAGACAGCCGTGTATGGATGGGACAACGGAATGAAGTGTGCATATTTGGAGAAACGGTCAATGACCGGGAGGATCACGGACTTGCCATGCACCCCTGGCAGCACCTCGATGAAATCCATGGAGATATCACTCCACACAGACGTTGGGACCGGCAGAGGCTGAAGTAACCCGGCAGGCAGGAGTGTTTCTGTCTTATTGCGCTGACAGATTACACAAGCACGTACCAAATCCTGAACCAATTGGCGATCACCAGGGACATGGAAATCAGCTCGGAGTCGATGAAGCGTCTTTTGGACCCCCTGTGTGTGCCATGAGCATGTTGCAAAATCGCTGGTATGGACGGGGAGGTGGGCAACACATGCACCCGACGCCCATGAAGAATCAAGTTGTCAACACAACTCCAGGGGTGGTCGTGATCACCGGCGCGAATACCATCACGAATGGAGGTCAACTCAGGGGAAGCGTTGATCTCACGCCGTAGGTCCTCAAAGATGGTGAAGATTGGCAGCGAGAGAGCACAAAGCGTAGATGCTGCATCGGCATCACGACGGGAGAGGGCGTCAGCAACGATGTTGAGGCGACCCAGGCGGAACTCGACAGTGAAGTCGACTCCAAACAATTTGCTGACCCATTGGTGTTGAGGGATTGTCGAAAGCCGCTGGTCAAGGAGAAACTTCAGGCTGTAGTGGTTGGTGCGTACGGTAAAGGCACGACCCCAAAGATATGGCTGCCAGTGACGTACAACCTGAACCAGTCCAATGAGTTCCCGCTCATAGGCAACAAGCTGGGCATGGAGTGAAGCAATGGGCCGATTGAAAAGGCCAAGGGCCCCGCACCTTGGTGAAGAAGGGCACCGAAGCCAGTCCCGGAGGCGTCGCACTCAACAATGAAGCGAATGTCAAAGTCCGGCATCTGGAGCACCGGATCTTGACCAAGGGCATGCTTGAGTGCCTAGAAGGAATCCTCTGCCTCTGGGCACCATCGAAATCCCTCCTTGCTGAGTAGGCGCGTGAGAGGAGCAACGAGCATGCCGAAGTCCTTGATGAACTTGCGATAGTAGCTGGCCAGCCCCAAGAAGCCGCGTAACGCCCAGACCGAACGAGGCGTAGGCCAGTCAGCAACTGCGTGCACCTTATCCTTATCCATGGCCACCTCATCAGCATCAATGACATGACCCAGGTAGGCCACGGAGGACTCACCAAAGCAACACTTTTTGCGCTTGAGGAAGAGGGACTGCTGCCGCATGACCTGAAAGACAACACGAAGAGTGCCGATGACGATACGCAGCTGTATGGTGTCAATCATGCGGATACTCCAGAGCCCGGTGATGGCGTGAAGCGAGATGTGTGGCGTCTCTGGTTCCTCCTCGAAAGGTGCATCCTCAGGCACAAAATCATCGAGCTTGATGAAGAACAAGCGTGCACATCGATGACTTGGGACGTATTGCTCATCACAGTTGTAACAGAGACCTTGGCGACGGCGTTCAGCCATCTCGGTAGGTGTGAGGCGGCGCGTAGCGCGAGGAGCCGGTGTAGGGGCAGCAGTTGCAGCAGGAACGCCTTGTGGCATGGGACGTGCAGCAGGCGGCAAAGTCGGCCCTCGTGCCCAAGACGTCGAACCACGGGGACGTGTCGGGACCATGAGTGGTGGGAACAGATGGCGTTGTTCATATGCCTTAGCGAGGGATACTACCGTGTGGAGGTCCACCGGTTGCTGAAGCTCGACATCGACTTTGAGGCCTTCAGGAAGTCCGGCTGTATACAGGAAACGCTGCTGGGCTGAGCTTAATGGTTCGCTGGTCCTGCACAACAGCGCCATAAATCTGCTGGTGTAGTCGGCAACGGTAGAGGTGATCGGAAGCTGAGCCAACTCGCCCAGGGGGTTGGCGCGTACAGACGGCCCAAACTGAAGGTGACACGCCTCCTTGAAGTGCTGCCACGAGGTAATGCCATGATCACACTCAAACTGGAGGTACCAGAACTGAGCATTGTCTACTAGGTGGTATGCCGCTGTCCACACCTTGTCAGCCTCCTCCGTGCGCTGTCCCCGGAAGAATTGCTTGCACCGATGAAGCCAGCCAAGCGGATCGACGGAACCATCGTAAGTAGGAAAATCGAGCTTGTGAAAGCGTGAGACACCGAAGCCGGAGCCGGAGCCAGAACCAAGGTGCTGGTATGGGAGGGGGGCAATTGACGTGAGGTATGGTGAGGCCGGCATAGGTGGGCTGGGTCTGTAGTGTTTGAGGAAGTGGCTGATAAGAATTGGCGGGTGGCTGTTGGTAGGGAAGTGGTGGCAGAGATGCGTGGTGGAAAGCTGGGTTGAACGGAGGGTAAACATGAGGTTGTTGTGGGAAGAATTGGGAGGACGGAAAGTGGGGTGGTGACGGCGGTGGGGGAAAGCGTGGATCAAATCCGGCGCTCAGGAGGGTGGGGACAGTGGTGGGGGCGGTGGTGGCGAGGGCGGCGGAGGTACCAGACGGTGTGGAGGAGGCGGCGGAGGAGCCGCTGGCTGCCAGCAACGCCGCGCGCAGGTCGACCAATGTGGAAGGTGGAGCGCTGGGGCGCTGTTCCAAGGTGTTGAGGCGCTGGACGAGGCCCTCCATGAAAGCCTGATCTGTGGCCCGTTGCACCACCATCTCCTTCAGCTGGGTCGCTAGCTCCTTGAGCGCGAGGTTGATGTTCCGCCGTCGTCTTTGTCATCGTCCACCATTGTAGATGACGCTGATACCAGATGGAACAAACTCTAATTACTCTAAGGCCTAAAAGATAGTAATACTCTGAATTCTGATGCTTTATTGATCGGAGTTGGTACATTCCATTTCAGTAACACCAAGTGGTGTTTCTTTCTTTCTTTCTTTCTTTTGGAATCAGGTGCCGATTGTACCATATGGTGGGGCTACATCAATTGAGGGACATACGTTGGCACCTCATGGTGGTGTTTGCATTGACATGTCTTCAATGAAGGTAAATATTAAGATTTATGATCAACAGCCATGTAATCATAACATTAACAATGATGTAGATGAACTCATTATGAATAAATCGAAATCTTACTCTAATGCCTAAAAAGTGCTAGAGTACTTGGCTCATCTATTTTACTATATTTTGTTATACCAAGCAGGCAAGCACTTTCTTAGCAATGAGCTATATACATGCAGGATACGATCTGTTAATTTCATACTGTATATTTTAATGTATCATAAATTCATTGCAGAAAATCAAATCTCTGCATGTTGAGGATATGGATGTTGTAGTTGAACCAGGAGTTGGATGGATTGAGCTGAATGAATACCTGAAACCCCATGGTCTCTTTTTCCCTCTTGACCCAGGCAAGCTCCTTGTGTCCTTTCACCTTCCATTTTTTTCTGTCCATTTACCTTTTCAACCGACGAAGTGAAGTATTCCCCAGCCAAGAAGTCCTGGGTTCGACGCAGCCTCTCTGCATTGCTCTGTGCAGGGGTAAGGCTTGCCTCGTATCCTTCCCCAGAGCCCACCTGGTATGGGAGCTTCTAGCACTGGGTCTGTCCTTTCTTTTTACCTTTTCAACCGACCATGTAAAATCCAGATTGACATAACCTGATATGAAATTATTCAATCATCAAAATCAATAAAAAGGCCATCATGGACCAAGATCCAAACAGATCAATCTTGTCAAAAAAAAAAAACCTTTCATCATGCCCTTTGTTGCTATGTCCTTTGCCCTTTCATATTCAGTGTAACTCGACTACAGTTGAACAGCAACTTTGTTTGCAACCGACTTGTGTAGTGTAATTGCATCTTCCAGACATTTAGGTGCAAAATCCAGATTGACATAACCTAATAAATTATGTTCAATGCAACTCGACTGCAGTTGAACAGTGTAATTGCACCCTCCAGACATTTAGGTGTTATGTACCTTCTGTCCTAGGGAGATAACTATGCATGTTTGTAGTACTCAATAGTTGCACTGAAGTTCGATCATCTTTCTGGGTCCACTAAATGGCATCAGCGGCTGCTTGCTTTTGCACTAGTTTAGTGGCGTAGCTTATCTACATTGGTCTGATTTACAGGACCTGGAGCCACTATTGGTGGAATGTGCGCTACACGATGTTCTGGTTCATTAGCCGTGAGGTAATTCTCCGTATAATTTCAGGCCACTTTTTGGCTTCTACAGTGCACCTGTAACCCCATCTGCACAAAGAGGAAGGACAGCCATAACATGCACAATTCACCTGTTTATCTGTTGTATTCTTATGATACTTATGTTAGATGGCTTTGATGAATTTGCTTCTTAGTTTGTAGGTATGGAACTATGCGGGACAATGTTATCAATCTTCAGGTCCTTTTGCTATCCTCATTATTTCCCCATATACTGTACATTTGACTAAGCATACAAGTAGTGATCGTAGTGATCTTTTATGGTACATCAGGCTGTTCTACCAGATGGCGACGTTGTCAAGACCGGTTCTCGGGCTCGAAAGAGTGCAGCTGGGTATACAAGAACTGCTCCTGTTTCTTAAGATTAAAAGGCTTCATTTCTTCGGGAGTGAATCTTAGTTGTGCTGCGCTGCTTGCTTTTCCCATAATGTCTACATATTATATATATGAAGTTATACATCTGTTGCTGCCATTAGTATTGACAACTTTTTTTATTTTCCACCATGTTGAATGTCAGATATGACCTAACTCGGTTGATTATTGGAAGTGAAGGGACTTTAGGGGTAATTACAGAAGTGACTTTACGACTTCAAAAGCTTCCATCTCATTCCGTGGTAGGTCTTCTGTTTTGATTTATTCACTGTCGAAATAATGTTTTGCTAACAATTCTTACTGCACTTTGTATACTTGAATGTTAACTGTTAAGTTTTAACAACTAACCTGTTTCTCTGTTTAGGATATACACTCTTTATGTAGCACATCCTGTGGAGAAACACCATTCTTCATGCCGTATTACTATGACTTAACTCTTATCTTGCATCTTAGGAATGGAAACAACATTTGTATGAACACAAGATATTTTCTTTTAACAGTCTATCTTATCCTGCACTAGACAATTACATTATCCGGAACATTTCTATGTGATGTTCTCCCTATGTTCCTAAAAAAATGTTTATTGGCTTAATGTTCTATGATATAAAATTTGGGAAGTGTTTTTTTCCGGGAAAACACAAAAGCTTTGCATTTCAATGCATTGGTAGAAGGAAAGAGTTTGTACAAGCCCAAAGAAGGTCACACTCCAACACACCGCGGTCGTCCCTAGGCTTGACCTCAGCCCCGTAGCACAACCTGAAGGCCTCTCACGCCCGCCAGACACCCATTGCCTGGCTTCCTCTTGGATCGTACCAACGAGGGAAGGCAAGCTAAGGGGAGCGTTGTCGAAGATAATGCATTGCGATGCTTCCAGAACATGCCACCAACATGATGGCTGTGGATGTGCCCTTCTGAGGAGAGGCTGGTGTTGAAGTGTATATGTGGATTGCCTAGCCCTTTCCGTCAGTTCGGCCTTTTGGTTGTGTTGGCTAGCGCATGAAGCTTAATATGCTATCAGAAAAAAAAGGGCAACCTGGTGCATGTAGCTCCCGCTTGCGCAGGGTCCAGGGAAGGGTCCGACCACTTTGGGTCTATAGTACGCAGCCTTTCCCTACATTTCTGTAAGAGGCTGTTTCCAGGACTTGAACCCATGACCTCATGGTCACAAGGCAGCAGCTTTACCACTGCGCTATCAGAGATTAGGTTATTTTTTTAGCACGCGCAAGTCGTGCTGATCCAATTTCGCGATGCCGCCATCTTCCTCTGGCCAGCTCGCGCTTTCATAACATGGTATCGGAGCCTAAGGTCTTGAGTTCAAGTCCTGGCTTTCGCGATTTATCCAAAAATTGTTGCTGCCCCCTCTGTGTCCACGTATAGGCCTCTTGAGTCATACCTCTGAGTCTATTCACGTGTTGACTTCCCGCGTCACACGTGAGAGGCGGTGTTGAAGTGTATATGTGGATTGTCTAGCCCTTTCCATCAGTTTGGACTTTTGGTTGGGTTGGCTAGCGTATGAAGCTTAACAGCTGGGACCGAGTGGCCCATTCGATGCCACCAATCCACGAAGTCGTCCTCCGCATTGGGTGTCTTGCCGTCGAACGCAACCAGGAAAGAACATCGTGCCACACCACGCGCGAGAAGGAACAAACAGTGAGGAGCTGAGCCATTGTTCCTCCGACTGATCACAGAGCACGGAACATGATGCATGCTGAAGGCCTCGGCGTGCCAGGCTCTCAGCAGCCCAACAAAGGTCCTGGCAGGCAAGCCACACAAAGAACTTGACCCTAGGTGGGGCCCAAGTCATTCAGTTAA